CTGTGATTTTGGAGCTGCAAGGCAAGGGCTTTGAGAGCGTGCTATCACTCTAGAAAGTATCTCTAATTACAATTATTTCATTACGCTCTCATTCATAAAGAATTACATAGAATTTCAGTTACTCTTCGCAATCATCAAAGGTGCAACGCGGCATAAATCCGGACGTGCACATTATTCTCATAGATTCTGTAGCGTCAACTCAGATAATCCGGTGAGTCAACTCAACGTTCATTTTGACTTAGGAGTATAACTCGACTAATCAGGATCGATACGTTGAGTTTGAAGGGTGCAAAATTTAAGGTAATTTCGGGAAGGAAATGTTAGGTTGATGCAGTTCTGTCGCATCATTTTGTAAAATTATAACTTGTTGCTCTTCTAACGAATTTGCACAAACTTGATTTTGCTAGGACAAGACCCCTCTCTTTGTGATCTTACCTTCTTGCTTTACTAGGGGCTAGCTTCAGAAATAGAAGCGGAAGAATAAAATACTTTCAACTGCGGTCATTTTAGTGAGGCCGCTACTGCGGCCTAACTAAAATGAACGCAACTTGCGATAGAATTTCGAGCAAGCAGTATAGCAAGCCTTTTGATCCACACTTCCCAACAGTACAGAGTTTGTGCCAAAAGAACAACTTGTGAGAGTTATGATTTTCGAAAAAAATACCAAAAAAACAAACTTGTTGTTTTGTATTGTCTACCCGAAAATCCTAAGTCTTCACAAAAATGCTCTTTTGACACAAATTCTGTACTGTTGGGAATTGTGGGCAAAAGATTTACTATACTGCTCGGAATTCCATTGCAAGTTCCAGATGAGCAACCTAACTCAAACTGACTGCAGTTGAAGTAATTTTATTCTTCTGCTTCTATTTCAAATGCTATCCCTTAATAAAAAGCAGCAAGGGCACAGTCACAAAGAGAACACTTTCCTCTACCTAGCGAAGTTAAGTATGTGCAAATTCGTTGTGAGAGCAAGAAGTTATGATTTTTCAAAAATGATGCGAAGAACTTTTGCGTCGACCAAATATAATCGGGAGAAAAATAAAAAGCTCTCGACAAATTTTGGAGTACTCAGCGCTCTTTATGTCATGTTTCTGAAAATAAGTTGCTTCCTTTCTGTTTTCCAACAGCGTTTATTTGCAATGTCAAAGACACACACACCGATGTGTCATGCTGTCCCAAATAACACTTTCAGAAGAAATTTGGTAGAGTACCCATATGTATGTGTAGATATCATCAAAAAGCTGATTATACTACCGTTTATTCAAATTCTTGGCGATATGCGGTGAGATGCAATGACAACATCATGTAAAAATATTTTGAACTGTGTTTTGCAAATGTTTTAGTGTTGTTCACGACTATAGCACCTTCTTTGTTCACTAAGGTTCTACAACGGGATTACGGCAGTAGTACGAATAATTAGGTAATATTGCGAAGTTAGATGAAAAAAAAGGAATTTACAGCATCTACAATTCACAGCAGCAGTCCAGGTTATCCAGTGTTTTATAGCTTGATCAAAACGCACAAGCTTTCTTTGCGAGGCATCTTTTCAATGTCGGAGGACACCTACAAGATTAGACCAATCATAAGTTGTGTAGGCGGCTCTACCGACAGAATTGCATAGTTCTTGAATAAAATTGTGAGCCAATTGTTGTCCAAGGTTACTGCACATCTATCCAACTCACATGGATTTATCGAACAGCTTCGCAGCGCTAAGTTTGATTCGAGCAGTGTAATCGAGTCATTTGACGTGACTTCGCTTTACACTAATGTGCAAAATGAATAAGCCCTGCAAGCGCTATCAGAGTTGTTGGATAGGCATGGCAATACCATCAATACCTTTGAACTTGGCAAGTTGCGGACAATGACCGTGATACACGAATGTTTGAAGTGTAACATCTTTAGATGGTCTGGGACTTACTACTTCCAGATACGTGGGTTAACAATGGGTCAGAGACTAGCGCCTGTTCTCGCTATCTGCTTCATGAGCAAGATAGCAAGAGCATCGAGGAACCGGTGACAGCTCTGCCGCTAACGTACTGCCGTTATATCGATGACTGCTGTACAGCAACCTCCACACAGTCCGAAATGGACAAGTGTCGAGATTTTCAAACAGCAGTCGCACTACATAAAGCTCACCCGAGAGATGCCACGCGACGGATGGTTGCCTTATCTCAACGCACAGGTGACTGTCCAACAGCATAACTGAAATTACCGCAAAGAAAGCTCCAAGAACATCTTTTTAAATGTTAAATCTGCCCACGCTTTATCCGTGAAGCGCGCCGTAATCAGGAATATGTTCAATATGGCTACACAGATATGCCTCGGAGAAAAGGAACGATGCGAATCACGAATTTAGCTTTCCTTATCGCTTGCAATAATGGCTACCATTCTTTACCACTTACTCAACATACGAATCAAACTGCATTGAAGTCTTATGCACGCACTCAGAGAATCGCCGAGGGTAGGCCGGCCATGCGATTTATAGGCAAGCGGGCCTTAAAAAATAGTTTGCTGAATTCTTCTGGTCCTCTTGCAGATAGTCGGAAGAATGTTGGCCACAAGTGTAGATTTGTAGATTATTTTTCGTAGATTAATTACGGCGCAGTGGCTGCATGCTCGTGGACATCCAGCGAGGATATGAAAAATTGTTGAAGGCTGCACTGTCCTTTATGAAGGACCGCACAGCCCGTACTTACCTTCCGCTGAAAGAAAGTAATTCAAACTCGGGTAATTAAACCATCGGCGACACCTCCGCCATACAGAGTCACACCTTTGCTCGACGTACGCCCGATACTGCTTAAAAACCGTCCGAGCGCCAGCTGAAAATTTGACCAGCGCTCGCTGAAAGGAACTGTTGACCGCTTGCAGAAATTTCTGTATTGCTGCCCGCTGGCAAAACATGCAATTAAGGAAGTACCGCTTGCTGAAGGTTTGGCCGCGTGTCAAAATTTTCTGACCGTTTGCAAGGAAGCGCGAGTTTGCTGTCCGCCTGCCCCAGCAATTATCCGAGCAGCTGGAGCGCGGAAGCAAAAGCGCCAAAGACATGCATGTTATGATCACGCGACGTCCTGGGCCTTTTCAAAATTGCACAATCAGCAAGAAATCGATATACTTGCTTTTAAAAAAATAGTTCACGTACAAGCACCAGCTTTGGTTCTGTAATGACTTGAATGTATGGAACATCATAGCTCTTCAGTGCTTTACCAAGAGGATAAACTTTATCCTGACATGGATGCTATAGAGTTTCGAAAGTTGAACAATTTTGGTTTGAACAGCAGACCAAATATGTTTGTCCTTTTGTTTGGTAAGCGTCCTCAACTTTTGTAAGTTAACAAATATATCACTCAAAGTTGCAGGAAAAACTACTGAACCAATTGATAAAACAATTATTGGATTGAATAAAACCAGAGAATCTTGATTATGATGCGGCATGCCTGCAGTATCTGGATAATTTATCCTACATACTTTTTGACTACTACAGTTATGGTTATAAGGTGAACTTTTTAAACATGAAAGGCGGTGATTCTCGCTAAAAATATAAACGAAACAATTTCTGAATCTCCTTTCTAGTTTCCAAGTCGAAAAATCGATCGCGCACATTGACACCAAATTATGACTTCCTCAGGCAACCTCTCCCATATATTCGCAGAAAATTCATCAGCTGCTAATTGGTAATGCTGATGGTTTTCTGGTGTGAATGGCGTGGGAGTTAGGCACTTTTGGGGATAGGTCGTTGACGAGACAATTTGACGAGATGGACGAAGAGGTGGACGATAAGACCAATAAGGTTCCCAGCTGTCCTTCTTTATGGTCATCACTTTTTGCACAGCGATACGTAAAGTGATATGCTGCTCTAACGTCGAGAAAAACGTGGTGATTGGTCTTTCCGGAGATCAGTGAGTAAAAGCATGAAACGCTTCTAAGCTGTCCTAACGTGGCGTGTCCTGATCAAGCGGGCCCAGGAGCCTGACATCCGTATTGTTACCGGCGTCTTGAATGATATTTACTGTCAGTGTTTTCTGCTGCTGAGAGGGTTTCGAATTTTTACATAATGGAAATGGATTTGCTAGTTTTTGCTTTGCTTTCCAAAAAAAAGACGATCGTTAACTGGGAACGTTTTATGAGGAATCGCCGGCGTTTCTCAACTGCAGCCGAACGGCGGAGATCTGGCCTGGTAAAAAAGACATTGAATTTGAAGTGCTGAATTGGTCGAGCGCCACAAAACTTCATACCTTACAACCTGAGCTGAATTTTTTACTCTCGCTCATTTCAACCGTTTCAGACTTTCGACGCTCATAATTACTACCACCACCACTTTGACTTATCCAAACTGTTATGGCATGAAGAAAAGTCACTCACCATTTCTTCAGGTATTCGTTAATCAAACTCTAGCTGGGCCTGCAAATCAAATTACTACCAACAGTGAAAAGCCAAAAATCACGGGTCTAGTCTACTTTTTTCCTGAAACTCATTTCTATTTTCGACACATCTCATGAGATAGAGGTTTTTTTGTAATTGGTATTAACTTCCTGTTAATGACAGTTTTTTCTTAAACCTCATCCCAAAGCCGCAGGCATACATCACGCGATTACAGTCGCGACGTGCCTTGACACTTCGAATACTCTTAGTATCTATAACGTATCGTTTATAGCCGGCAAGTGCTGAATTAAAAAAATTCGGCGGACTGTCAGATTTCTTGACAACTAACTTGCGTACTTAGTTGCCTGGGCCTAAAACTTCAGCTTCTAGGAAATTATGTATCTCGCTTTACTTGTCACTTTTACCGTTATAATTATTGTACCAGACCCTTTTACAATCGAATTCGCGAAGATGAAGACCTTCAACAAATTCACAACAAAGATAGATGCCGAGTTAGCGACAATTATATGCTGGAATATCATTCAATGTTCCTTCAGTCCTACGAAGGAGCACTTTACTTTAATATTTTGCAACTGATGACAAGAAAATGATTTTCAGAATTTCCATAATTTTCGCTTATAATGTTCCATGATTGGTCACATGATAGTACAGCAAACTTGTACAAGGCTGATTACGATCTGTACAATCATTTCCTCCTCCACAAAAAGGCCGTAAGGACACTAGGGAAAAAAGCGTCCTAAGCATCTGTAATTATTGCTTACAGCTTAGCGAATCGTTTGTGTTTTTCATGGCGGATCATGGGCCGAGAATGGGAGAGGTTAGTGGTTTTGCTGTACGAATCATCGATGACATGAAACACACGCTTTAGGAAACGAGTACTAGTATCAATCGAGTGGAGAGGTACAATCCATTTTTATATATTATCCTCCCAAAACATTTGCGCAACTCTCGGATGCATGAGCAAGTGAAAGCAAACAGCAGGGAGATTATCACACACCACGATATTCACTCAACATAGAAAGACATCCTTTATGTAAAGTTTGAGTTTCTGCTTTTTTTTCAGTAATGAAATAAGACATGTAATAATCAGAAAAACAGATCCGTTTTTCGTTTGTTTTCTCCAAATCTAAATCAATTTTTCATTTAGATTTATTTTTTAAGTAAATTTTTTATAGAAGGAATTGGGCCTGAATTGCGTAAACAAAAAAATGAATGGACCTGTATTTTACTGTGATAAACAGCTTTATTCAGCAATATCTACCACTATGGAAACTCGGCACCTTACTGAGGGAGGACACGGAGTCGAAATCGCATTTTAAATGAGATATGTAACATTTTAAAGAGCATCAGACGCTGATTTCAAAACTGTCTTCATTGCCAAGCGCTTCAAGACGCTAGGTTATAAGTGTTTTTGGAGCGAAAAAAAATAGCAAAATTGGTATAATGAATGGTTATGGTTTTTCCAGCGCTCAAAAATGCCGAGTACGAGTACATTAGAAACCATTAAAAACACAAACAAAAATGAGCAGGTAACACCTGAATCATTTAGAAGACCTATTATTGATTAGAATAATGTTGAATTTTGAAGACAGCGCTAGGCACTAATTTTTTAGATTTAGTGACATTTTGGAACACTTCTTGATTATCCCAGTTTTAGCATATCTGCCTCACAAAAAGTACTCATATGCTTGTGCAGTGATTTATCGAAATTCGCGTTTTAGAACCTCTTGGAGTCCATTTTGTAGTCGTATCCTGCAATACCGCCCGGCACAAGGTTGGCAGTTGGATTTTTGCACAGCAAAATCTTCCATGACACATGAGGCTTTTGAGACAAGTTTTCTTTACGTTGTTTGAGTATTCATCCCAGATTTTAATCAAAAATAGAAGTATCAAAAAGACCTGGACAGCCTTTTCTTGACACAAGTATCTCATTATTTATATTCTATGTGCGTTACGAACGAGCCACTGTGTATGCCATCATCCTGGAGCGTTGTTTATAAATATTCCTAGCTTGCTCATACTGCTTCCCTGTGCACACCTAATTGATGCCACTTTATTCGCGCGTCATAAACGAAGCATGTGAATATCGAAGAAGATTATTTGACCTTCGTTGCGCGCGTTTGCATGATTATGAACTAGATGGCTGCAGTAACTTGTGCACTATTTAACTGCGAATGGAATGCATATATGCATTCCTATTCTTGTTTTCTGTAGAACTTTCTTCCACCCGTTCGGTCATTTCTTACTCGTTCTTTTTTGAGGCAGTGAGCATTACGGTTCAGGTTTCAGAAAGAACTACTGGAAAGAAAGCAGAAAATAAATTCATGCCGCGCACACTACACCGTTGATAAAGAAATCGCAACATACGTTGGGTCCGTCGCTGCAACGCAGTTTTAGCATTATTTAGCAATTTCACATGATCGTTTTTCTATGATGAGACTTGCCATTCTCATGTAAAAGGTGCTAGGCGGTAGGCGTAGGCGCTCCCAAACGTCCATTCAATCGGAGCAAATTTTTTGAGATGGAAATGCATTTTCAGAAGCTATTTTCACGAAATTTATTAACATTATTATCTGATACAAAAACCTTTAATCGCGCTTTTTCAACAGTAAAGTGGGACTTGAGCCCACGCATTGCGGGACAGAACAAGTTTTACAAGTTCGTTAACAGACTTTATCAATAGAATACTAGTAACTAATGAATACTTTTTTGAACAACGGTTACAATAAGAATACAATTCTAGATAGTATATGTATGATATAAACAAAAATACATTTACCATACAAATACAACATCAATAATGATTCGAATCTCAAAATTTCCGATTTTTACTAGAACATCTCTTATACAACGTAAAACTTTTAATCAAGCCAATTATGAAAAACTTCTAAGTAACATAAAGATAACCCTTAGTCGAAGCGCCCTTTCCAATTAATGCCTATATTCTTAAAAAGCATTGAAAGCTGTTTTCAAATCTATCCTCTTTATTTGCGTAGCTCTGGATGAGAAGTTATGAGGGATTTATGAGTCAAAACATTAAAGCCTAATCGATTGAAATCAATGGTGACAGCCTTACAATTAGCAGATGGAATAAAGGTGAGCACATACGGTAAGAAGCAGAAAATTTTCTACTCATAAAGGAGTTCAACAGTCACTAATGTTCCATTTAGCTTACGAGTTCTATAAATAAGCTTTTCCTAGCTACGCGTTTAAACTTTCACCACAAAACGCCCATAATTTGTTAGACAGAAGAGCTCCGAGATAAGGAAGACAGATTTGGAATCAGCGTTTGATTATCCTCAAAAAGATATGTGCCGTTTCTGGAGAGAACACTTTGATCGAGGATTCTTCCCAAGTAGGTTAATAATGGGGAGATATGTGCAGAATTTTTCGCGTCTAACATCTAGATCACAGATTTCAAAAAGAGTTTTTATGATTGAAAGATGAGTTATTAACTACCCGCTATTCTCCCTTAAAGGCAGTGGCTCTGCAAATCTTAACCTAGTCAAATTTTTGCTTACCGTTATTTAAAATGCTGATCCCAAAAATCCACTTTAGAAAGCTTGAAAACGGCAAAACGAGCGTTTTCAACGCGCGTTGGGCGCCCTCCCCTTTAAAGGACGAGTGGAGCAAGGCTGATGACATTGCATCGTTGCGGGACCCAACGGTGGTTATAGCGATGCGGCGGGCAGCCTCCAATGGTGCTCAGACACTCGCTGTTGACTCGCGCCGGAGATCCGCCCCTTTTTGAGGGATTCGCGGGAAAGGGCGTAGACATGCGCGAGACAATATTTTGACAGCTTTTGCGATTGTTCGCGAAAGGAAATCGGGAGATGATGAGTGACTCAGCGAGCAGTTTCGCAATATCGACACGCATTTCAAATCTCAGCTCATGTTGCATCATTCCAGGTTTTTTGCTACCTATTTCCAAATTCGTGCATTCCATCCATCCCACCTAAGCCCTCTTATTCCCATTAATTTCATTCCAATCCAACATTAACTTTATTTGAAATCCAATTTTGAAGCTTCTTCTCTAGAAATCAAAGCTCGACTATCTCCGTGATAGTGGGATTGTGGAATTTGAGTTTTTGTCCATAATAGCCTAATATGTTTCAGCATGTAAGTTTTGGCTTTATTTTGGTGCCTATTTTGTTCACTGGTTCTTAACTTACATGCTGAAACATATCAGGCTATTATGAAGAAAAACTCAAATTACAGGTCACTGATCGTGAGCGACTTGGCGACTACTGCGGAAAGACGGTGCACTTAATTCCACATTTTACGGATGCAGTAATCCAGTGGGTTGAGCAAGTGGCCAGGATTCCCGTTGATGGCACATTGGAAAGGCCAGACATTTGCATCATTGAGGTAAATAGTATGTTTTCATTGCCATTCTTTACGTAAATTTTGATTTGTTTTGGTTTTTTTAAAGTCACTCTCATTTGAACTTACCATTTTCGATGCACGACATAGGACCGTGTTGCTTGTTTTAAAAAGAAATTGAGGGGGGTGTATAGTAAATCGTCCATTCCACGACAGCTCACCTATGCCACCTATGTCACATACGCAAAACTGCCAACCGACGCATTGTTGTTAACATGTTGTTGCTGTTGCAACATGCACAACGGCCATAGGTTGTCGGTGTCGTTATGTTGTCGATGCTGTAAGGTGTGGCACGCCACATTCACGCCAAACCAGTCTTGCTGTGATGTAAGCTATCTTTTCTTTAGGTTGCTTCCTTGCCCTGCGGAGAAGGAAATGGGCTGACAGTGCTGCAGCAAAAGGAGACGAGGAGAAAAAAGGAAGTGAGTGGATTACCACACAAATCTTAATAGCTTTTGTTCTGCATTGCAGAGGTGCTCCGTATTGTTGACAAGAAGGAGCTGTCAGACTACGTCAAGCGCTTTTCAAATTTCCGTTTCTCAATTTTATGAAGTGTCTGATGAATTTCTTTTGGACATAGTGCTCATTCTCCTTTTTTAAAGTATACACCTTGCACCTGCGTCAAGGAAATAGAAAAGACCATCCCCGACAAGTTTTAGCCCATCTGCTACTAATTCTTTCTAATTTGCTGTACTTACATATCACTATCATATCATTTGCCTTGACTCTACTCCCGCTTTTGCGTATCACTTATTTGCAATCCGAGATTCTCATTGTTTAGACGGTTACTAAGTACACTTCTATCTCATCATGTATCTCCATATCGTGAAGCTTTAAGATAGTAAGCATAGTAGTTTGACTTCCCCGAAGTATCCTTATGCCATTTTAAAAGTAATAAATTGGTTAAGACTTTGTAGAATTCATATATATGCGTGTACATATATATACATATATATTAGGTCGTTCCGAAAGTAATGTCGCTTTTTTCGAATGAACGCCACTATTCGTGGAACCAACATTTTCAAAAGATTTTAGGAGCATTCGATGCAGCATTTCATCCTCTTTCTAGTGGCTGCAATTTCACTGCATAATGTTTAATAAGCTCTCAAAAAATTACAAAAATCTGCGACTCATGCTTTTTGCCAGGGTCAAGTTCGGCTATTTTTCTAAATTTTTGTACCTTATCTCCGATAAAATACAAGTGGCAGGTAGATAGAGCAAACACTATAGAACACAGAGTAATTTTTTCTTTTCTTTAGCTTGCTTCTCAGAGTTTCTACAATCAATTTCTCAATGCCATCAAATTCCATATTTAGTCAAGTCAAATCTCACAGGACAACAACCGGCAAGCGACTCGGGTGTCATTCGATGCAGCTTCTTCTCCTCTTTCTAGCGGTTGTTTTTTGTTCCTATTTCATCAAGTTTTCCGTGATAAAATCATCATAATTCGACTTTTCCAAGGTACCCCAAGATGTACCCGAAACTTTCGAAAGCTGCTAAACCGAAGCGGTGAATGCTCGTTTGGTTTGTAAAATTGTTGCCAAACCATAATCCGTCTTTGTAAGTTTCAAAATCCGAAGATTTATTGGTGTTTGATGCATTTGTGTCTGAGGCGAGAATGCTAAAATTCGATAATTCCATCAAAAAATCTATACAAAAATTATGACAAGCTCTAGAAAGTAGAAAAAAGTTGTGCTGTTTCCTGTATGGTTTTCTCCATCCATCCATTACTTGAGCTCCTTCTGAGGTTTGTTATAAAATTGTAGAAAAATTGTGAAACTTGGCCATCTTAAAAAGCATGGGTCGCAGATTTTGTCTCTTTTCTGGAAGCACATTGACTGTATTGCAACAACTTCATAACCATTAGAAAGAGAATGAAATGATGCACCAAATGCTGCCGGAATCTCTTACATATCTTTGTTCCACGAGATGTGGCATGCGTTTGAAAAAAAGCGACATTACTTTCGGAACGACCTAATATATTATATAATGTATATTTATACATACACATATAATATATACATATATCAGTGGCGTACCCAGGATTTCGGCTCGGGGGGGGGGGGGGCGCGACAAAAATTTTTTCCTAAAGAAGGTGCGTGGCGTCAGCCACGCACTCCGAAAATTTTTTTGGGGTGCTTCTCAAAACTTTTGCGGGTCCCCGACCCCTAAAATCTAGAAAAAGGGGGCGTGGCGTCAGCCACGCCTCCGAAAAAATTTTTTTTACAAAGCTAATTTGAATTTTTAAAAATTTTTAAAAATTGTTTTAATTATTTACAAAAGTAAACAAGTCACTTGCACATTTTTATAACCCACATAGGTAACTTTCAAAAATTTCGCGACCCATTCTCGGGGGGGGCGCGCGCCCCCCCCCCCCCCCCGCCCCCCCCCCCTCGGTACGCCACTGACATATATGTAATGTACAGCAAATAGGGATAAAGCGAAATTACTACTGCGAGGTAACGCGCTCCATTTGCGTCCGGACAACAGGATGTGTCGCCCTCGAGCTGCCGCGTATTTCCTGCAAGATGCGGGTCGCGTCAAAGTGTTGTCTCGGGCAGCACTGTTCCGACACATGATGCTGTCTCGGGGATTCCTCGCGAGGCCGATTACTTGTGTCGCGCCTTCATTCAGCGCTTACACAAAACTTTGGGCTGCGCGAGTCAACAGCGAGTGTCTGAGTGAGAAGGAAATTGCCAACTCGTCCGGGCGCGTGTAAAATGGCTTGCGCGTAAAATTTGAGAGCGATTTTCTCGGCAGGGAAGGCATGCTGTGCAACCGGTATTGCACTGTTCTCATCAGGGCCGGGCACGCGTTGGTTTAAAGCATTTTTGGAAACGAAGTCCCCATGACTTCGTGAAAATTTACGAAGTCTCTCTTGACGTAAAAATCAGTAGGGAAACCCTCATTCAATCGAAATAACAATAAAAAAGCGAAAAAAGGGCATTTAAGGTATCTAATCTGACAAAAAAAGCAAAAAGAAAACATTTTGAATCGTTCAAATGCTCTGTCGTTGGGTATGGTACCATTTTAGTGCTCACAATGTAGAAAACCTCCTAGGCCGACCAAATCTGTGGCCTCAACAATCTGATGATGCGTTTCTCGCCACTTAGTTCAAAGAATACCGCATGTGATTGGAGCGCGATATCTATCAACGCCTAGATTTACACTACTTTGGCTCAAAAAATGAGGAGAGGCAATGGTTTGATTCGCTCTCTTCACTACATGATAGATTTCTGACCGTTTCAATCGTTCGAATCAAAAAGGTCCAAAACTTATGTGAACTTTTTGATTTCTATGCTCCGAATCAACCCAGTTGGTTTAGTGTTGGTTTAGAAACCAACAAATTCGGGAACGGATATTAAGACACATAAGTTATTGGAACTTTTTACATAACATAGTTTGGAGTAATATTGCATACGCATAGCCCAAATTCGGAGCCTTGTGGTTGTTTGTGCCATGTAAACAAGCCATTTGTTTGTTTGAGTCTTGCGTTTGAATTTTCGCGCGCTTGCGAAAGAACACGTTCAGCTCGTAGAACCTAACATGTTCGTCGTTTTCTTTTCGGCGCTTCTCCCAGGACCTTTTGAAAACGATATCCCCGTTGCTTCTAACTTCAAAAACGAAATCCAGTTTGACCCCATACCATCTGTGCCAAGCCCTGGTTCTCATACATGGGCGATAAAGAACCTACCGCGTTAAAATCCGGAGTTGTTAAGTTTTGCCGATTCATTGCCTTTAACAGCCTGTCTCGTATTGACTTCGAGTATGTAAGCAAAGTCTCCCTTGACATCGCACAATCATCCCAGAGCACCATATCAGATATGAAGTGGAATATTAGCAAAAAAAAGAAAAAGAAATTAACGTAACAGTGGACAGAATTTTTTCCAGAATGGAAATCAAAAACGCATTTTTTTCTAGTAACGGTAGGTTCTAGGAAATTCTAGGAAATCTGGCTGGTATAATGCTTTATTAACTTTTCAGTTTCTGAGTCCTTTGACTTCTTACTTTCCCGAAACTATAACCAACTTCTCTATAAATAGATCAGGATTTTTATCAAAGAAGGATTTAATGAATTCACCTGCAACAAAGTATCAAAATTAATTGATTGAGTATCAGAATGTTAACAGTAAGCTTTTCCTGAGAAAAACTGGTGACTTTTGCCTGTGGCTGCTGGCTGAGAAAACTATCCAAAACTATCCAAACTATCCAATTTAACTTTGAAATCGAAAGAAATGTGCTACTCATTAAAGACAAAAATGAGTCAAAATTTTACTGAATTTTAATGTCTCCGCAACTGTCGCGTACACTGGGGAGGGGGAGGGGGTGTTTTACTACGAACAATTGCAGCAACCGTATAAAAACGTTTGATTAACTGCACAGTGCGATATCCTCAAAAGGTAATGGGGCAGGGATCCGAGTTTTGAAATAAGCAAATACTTTATCTTTCGACTCTAAAATCTAGGTGGGTCAAATCTGGGCAAACTTCCCCTTGCTGTATAAAACCGCAACCCAAGCCTTGTAAGTAGCACAAAAATTTACTTCAAATAATGAACTTCAACTTAATACTTATGGCGAAACTTTCATGTATTGCAGTTCCAACCGGCAACAAATTTCACCGAGCTCGAATACAGAGATTTTGATAGCGGCAAACGTGGATCTTCACTGCGCGACGTTTCGAAGAAGGATTGAAGAGAAACTGCAAAACACTTCCCATACCATTCCAGTACTGTATCTGTCAATATACACTTTCTAAAGTGGAGTTAGTTCATTTTAAATCTATGCATCCATACTTCTGATCGTGGGCATTGATATCTTTTTAGTGATCCAGAGTTGCGACTGAAAGTGGCTGAATTTGCTGCCGGTCAACTCAGTTCGTTTCTGCGCTTCAACAATGTCTCATCTCTGTGCGAAAAAATACGGCTCGCTAAGGTAACTGGGAGTGAAATTTACAAATACCTTTATACAGATGTGTAAACACCTGCATATTTTCTGTGAGACGGATAAATCAGTCTCACCCTGCGCATTTGGTCTACAAATCTGTCGTTCTCGGGCTTAATCTACTATTTAAAGGCATCTCTTACCGAGTTCTGCAATTAGTAGGATGTTGGTGGAGTAATTGCCTAAGTTGCTGCAAAGCAATAATCCTTCAGAAAATGGATAGTGCTGAGCTTTCATTGTCAGTGTTCTGAAAGTGATGAGTTTAAAACTGGATTGCAAGGTACGTAAATGTCGAAAACAGAGTATAACAGTGGTTGTCTAGTAATTTAGACAGCGACTTGCAGAAGGAATGGCATGGTTTTTATTAACTGAATGGCACATTCTGGGGCGTTGATTATCAATTTCTACAGGGTGTCCCAAAGTAAATACACACTTTTCAATCGTTCTCTTGCCATTGTGTCTTTTTCCGCCATTCAAGTACCATTCAGTAGTGGAGGCCTCAACATATATTTCTAGTGTCGAGCGAATCACCGAACGCTCTTCGTAACTGTACGATTACTGTAGGGACTTCGACAAGGACAGGCCATCGGAACCCATAGTCTGCCTCGGAACAAACCAAACAATCAAAAACTCTTATGCTATGGGAATGGAAGCCGCTGATTTCGAATCTGAAATTTCCACTTTACTGTGGTGCTTCTTTCCAAAGTTATCCCAGGTAAACCGTAATAAATGAATTTCTAGCATCTGTCAGAAATATGATTACACGGTCAAAAAACCAAAAACACTCGTGAAAAGTTGTGTAGTGGGATCAGCGTGCGCGAAAACCCTAGTTCACGATTTTTCAGATTTTTTTTGAGAAAAACTTTGTCAGATGGCATATTTCACAATGGTTCCACATGCTAGAAATTCTTATCGTAATCCTACAGTAACGAAAAGCGATCGGTGATTTGACCGATGATGTAAATCTAAGTTAATGCCTCCTCTACAGAATGGTACTTGACTGGCAGAAAAGTTCCATTGGGACGAGAGATACTGACGATTGAAAAGTGTGTACTTACTTTTGGGACGCCCTGTATATAGAAAGCGGTTGAGATTCCTGTACAGGTCATATCGCCCGTATAGGCGCTTGCATTACAGGAAGCTAAGTTGGTAATTGGGTCCCTATCTGTTAAAGATATAATCCGATCTAAGTTTGGCCAAGTCAAGCATACCATACAATAATACCATTCGACAAAACTCGGGGCGGCGCATCATCTTTACATGCTCAATGTTGGTATGGGAGAGCGTATGTACAAGGCGTTTGTGAAGTTTTTGGCCTCGAGTATTTCGATTGCGAATTCAAGCTCTCTTTTTGCTATATATTCACTAAACCTAGAAACTACTAAATCAACAAAAAAAATTTCTTTTGCTCCATGATGCTCTAAAAAATTCGGAAGTAAACATTTTTTCAGCTTTCTCGAAGAACTCAGACAGCGGATAGGACCCCTCCGCCGGAGAAATGGCAGGGTCGCGGCGTTTTCCCAGCGGTGGGTCTCCCATTTGTCCGGCGGAGCCCTCCCATTTCTCCGGCGGAGACCTCCCATTTCTGCTCCGGATACCTCCCATTTTCTGCTCCGGATACCTCCCATCTTCTGCTCCGGATACCTCCCACTTTCTGCTCCGGACACCTCCCATTTTCTGCTCCGGAGCCCCCCGATTTTGTGCGCCGGAGCCCCCCGATTTTGTGCTCGGCAGGTCTGCCGCGGCATACTGTAATTACCCCTAATTAAAGGCAGCTTCCAGGCAGATCTGGACCTATGGGGCTTTCACATGGAAAGTACTTTTGGGGCCCTAACTAAGGCACTGCCGAAGCAGCAGTTCAGGTAGTGCTCTAATGGCGGAGATATTCCCCTCGAAACAGACCCCCCGCGAACGTATTCGCATGGATTCATGGCAGTTTCGCGCCAGGATCCACGCTTTGCGCCATGAATCCATGCGAAACACGGTCGCGGGGTCCGGTTTCGAGCAGAATATCTCAGGCGTTAGAGCACTACTTGAGCTGCCGGTTGGGTAGTGGCTTAGTTAGGGCCCCAAAAGTACTTTCCATGTAAAATCCCCATAGGTCCAAACTTGCCTGGACGCTGCCTTTAAGCTCCAAACCCCAATTTTGTCTCTAAACCCCACCCAAATAAGCCGAATAGGACCCCCCCCCCCCCGGGTAGGAGTTTAGCGCGACCCTCACCCCGTACTCTACCCCCTCCCTCTCACCCCTAGCGTTTGTGGATAGAAGATAGAAGAAAGAGAAGAGATAAGACATTTATTTCAAATTTTTCAAACTTTCGAAAAATCATCTTATATCGTTGATCATTTCACACCCACTGGTGTAAAAAAATGAACCTTTCCAACAAGACAACGGTTTGTGGAACAGTTTAAATTGCAGTGGCAGTTGGCCCATATTATTTATTTGCTTGCATATATGAAGAACGAATTTTCTCCACTGATGTCATCGGGAACAGCGCCAAGATTGAATTTGTTATTTTGATGAGTCAGTGCTAGAGATGCTCGTCGTAAATTGCGCTCCTCATCTGCTCCCTATAAAACAAAGAAATAACGTAAACTCTGAGACTTAAGAAAATGATTGGAATCTGTTAACGGATACTAATCGAAACTTGTCAAACAGTTACTTGAAACAAACTTTAGCTTCTCCGACGGTATACGATAGTATGGGGAAAACAAAATTCCACATTTGGGTTGTTCAATTTCTCACTTTAAACAGAGATAGATAACAAGGTCTGTACCACACTATGGATTCTAATTTCAATTTTTGCTGGAGCTTTTTGATCACGATTACTGAATTTGTATGAGAAGCGCATTATTAGGCAACAATGAAAATGAAGTATTCAGCTGGCAATCATTCTCTTACCTTTTCGACGTCAGCGGAAGCCTTCTGCCAATCGTTGCAAGTCTGAGTCAAAGACGTCTTTCGCAAAGTAACCGACTTTGTTGTTGGCATCAACATTGATAAATTTCAACAGCTTTGCGAAGTTAGCAGCATCTTTATCCGACTGTAAAAAGAAAGAGGGGCAAAAGTGAGAACTCACTTTGTCTCTGTGGATCGGGGTTACAGGAGGTACAACTCCGACAAATTCATCTGATTTAACGCTGTTGAAATAGTCAGCTTTCCTGTTGCTGGCCAAGGCATAAATACCTCAAAAATTGACGTAGAAACTCCCAAAGCATGGATAAAACTATACTTGGTTAATGAAGTTACCTTTTTTAGTAAAAATCATGAGCGTATCCAGCAGTTCTGTATTCAACAACCATATCTAAATTGCATCCTCGCAGTATTCTTTGCGGTTACTTTTACGAACTCACTTGCTTTCGATTTTGAGTAATGCACCGCTCCTTCATCCTGGCCTACCATGACCATGAGCCCCTCAACATCACCGAGACCATACGAACCTGCATTCTGAAATGATGACCTATATCTATGATCGCGCTGACAACCATTCAGATGAGAAAACCAACCCAGCATTCATACAGTGCAGTAGCATGACGAAGAAAAAGGTCCTTATCTGCTGTTAGGATCTTCTTTTCAGGCATACCTAGGCAAAAATCGGATCTTGAATACAAATCGTAAACATTGAACAAGCTAGATATAGCGTAGGATGCTACCCTGAGACGATGACGAAAATTTTAGAGTTCGAAAATTATAGGAACTTTCTAATAGAAATGAAATGCACAATTAAGATGCTGCCTCTTCTGCAGATTGCGCTTCGGAGTGCTCATTACTCTGACTGAGTTTTTCCTGTTCATTAACGATCGTCTGGACAACTTCATTGAAAGAAGTTGGAGAATCAGCATAGACGTGATGTCTTGCACCGCGAATAATCTAAAACCAAGCATGACATGCAGGTAGTATGACGTTTAAACCTACCTGTACGTCTACATATCGAAGTTGAAACACAAAAAACAAGGCTATCAGGTCACAAATAGCGTTGATAAACTAGAACCGTCAAGTTCAGTCGTATGGAGTCAAAAGGACAGCCAAGCAATGGTAATATTTCGTAATATTTCCATCCAACACGGTTTAGAACACGAAAAAGATTTCTGAAGATGCTCTCAAAAAACCTCAAAGCTCAAACTCACTTAGCAACGTTAGTACTCGCCTCCATTTCGTGTCTTATGTCATGAGGTAATCTCCTGAAATACAATATAGAGACGAAATTTCAAAACATGTAGGACAGTGCACAAGAATAGCAAAGGGGCTATTGATTAGAGTGCATTTGAAGTAAACATCCGAAAATGGCCGGACAATGCGAGCTTTGTGAATACGAAGGTGATATTGTTTTGGCTTTACAATTAAATTGAGCAAGTGATTCTGCATAATCAAAAGTAATGAAAATGAGTTGCTCTAGTGAGTTATTTTTGAGGAAACCCAGCAAGCGCCTAAGAAGCTTGGATCAATATGAATCTATTGTCCATTATCCTGATAAACTCCAAAAAGGCATTTCCAGTAATGAACCAAGCTTTTCCGTTTCTAATACCCTGATGTGAGCTCCTATCGATCGAACTCGTACAAAGTGAAATTTTTCGTGTAATTACGACTGCAAATCAATATCTCTCATGCAATTACGACTGGTCAATCAATTTCCGCATCTGCCCGCAGTTCCCCAAGGGGATGCAGTAGTTGAAATGGGCAAACCATCGACCGCGATTTCTCTATTTCGAAAACACAAATAGTGCAATCAATAGGTGATAACGAAAGTTTGCAAGTAGAACTGATGCTCAGAAACTTTGCTTGACTTCCCACTTTTACCGAGACACTCTGGCGGATATAACGTGAAATAATAATAACATATTTGCTAAATACGCTAACAAGGTATGATTTGAAATAAGCATTAGCGCTGACAACGCTCCGCCACACGGGGATTGCGCGCGAAAACAATTGTTGGAGGAGGTAGCAATAAACGGATAATTTAGACGATTTTACTTTCATCACAACAACACTAGATAGTTGCGCACTAACCTCATTGTTTCGGAAATCCAGAATTAATCACAAAAACCACTCCATCAATAGTCTACGATGTCTCAACAAGTCGGAAAGAGCCAAACACTGAAGGTGATTGAGTGCAACCGCACGAAAATTTGAAGCATAAACCTGAAAACGAGGAACTTACAACAACATAAACGCCAACGCGACGAAGAGCAACGCGGAAAAGAAAAAAAAAACGGTAAAGAAACGCGCAAAAACAACAAAATCAAAGAAACGGCGACTAAAATATGGACAAAGAGCGTAAACAGAGGACTCATCACCGTGGAGTTAGACGTTTGCTTGCTACGCGCCAAATCGATACGCAGCCTGCTCCGGATACCTCCCATTTTCTGCTCCGGATACCTCCCATTTCTCCGGCGGATACCTCCCATTTTCTGCTCCGGATACCTTCCATTTTCTGCTCCGGATACCTCCCATTTTCTGCTCCGGATACCTCCCATTTTCTGCTCCGGAGGCCTCCCATTTCTGCTCCGGACCCCTCCCATTTTCTCCGGCGCGGCTCTTCCAAATTTGGCGGACACGCGCCGCGCAAATTTTTCCGGCGCGGAGTCCGCCAAATCTGGCAGAGTCGCGCCGGAGAAATGGCGGACCTTTGCAGCAGGGCCGGAGAAGCCCCCCATTTGCCTGCCAGTGATGTCACCGCGATGGACCGCCCATTTGCCCTTCTCTCATTGGTCAACTGGGTCCGGCGCGACTCTGGCAGTTTCGGAGGGTCCGGCGGAGGGGTCCCGTCGATTGTCTGAGAAGCGGAAAAGTGCTGTATTAAAATTGTTCTATTTTTTCAAGACCGAAAAACGAAAACAACGTTCCCGTTTTCCCACTGCTAATAAGTTCTAAGTCTACACTCTCTTATTATAACACAAGCTCTCCAACAGCTTGTGAACAAAGATTTTTCATGTCGCTACAGTAGATCAGGCCACCGTGCAAGTTTATGAGAATTATCTTGGTTTGAAAGTTTTTGTAATCTGCCTATCTCTAGCACAACCTTCCTTTCATTGTTTTTGTTTTCAAAAATTTTGCATGCTTGTAGAGTTTTTGGAGATAAAAATAGAAATTTTAGAGCAGAACTTCTGACCATAAGATTTTGATATTGGATCTCTTGTCTTTGTGGTACTTTGAATCGAAACAAACTCAAATTCTTCGAATATGAAAGTCACTGTAAAAAAATTGAACAAAGGTTTCAGATGACGAACAAAATTTCCCATGAAAAATGTTTTCTTGTTTATAACAGGCATTTCAAGGTAAGAGGCATGAAAAGCTATATCAAATTTGTTACAAACTGATAAAATATCAAAGAAACCAAAGAAAAACCTAACTTTTACTGAATAAAAGGCTTCCAGGACTGTTGAGCTATAAAACTTCAGGCCACCTGTATCAACCTGTAACATGTAACCCTGTATAAAGATTGACTCAGAGGAGAATTCCAACGGCTGTTTACACTGGGTAAGTCATTCAGGGAATTATTCTGTAATCTATCTGATGTACATAATTACCTGAGAGTATATCTGCAATAGTGACAATCATTTGCTGCTGATGGCATGCAGGGCCACGGTAAATGCACTGTGTAAGGTTGACTGTTGTATGTGTTCAAAACGATGTTAGGGGAAGTTTCATAAGCTTTTCTCAAAAACATTACTTATTTTGACAAGCTACCAGTGCAAGCAAAAAATCACAAAGTGCGTCAAAAGTCTGAAAACCTGGTAACCTGTAGTTTACTAATCAACATATGATTTCAATAAAAGTATCTCACATAATGGTGCATCTTTTACAACATATACTTTTTCGAGCTCAATATTTACAAATCTCTATATACCATCTTCGAGGAAACTGCTTCTGGCAAATGCGGCTACTACAATGTGATAGTGCAAAGTTTGCTTCACACTGTATGCATTGATTGAACCGTCGTGGAATATCCTCAACCAGTTACGGATCAAACGTTAAACCAAAGATTCCAATGCTCGCTCTGCAAAAACACTAATCTGATAATTCGAGAGTTCGAGCTCTTACAAAAACATATGGTAAGCATTTTGAGCTCGGAAAGGTATATATTGTAAAGGATGATTGCGCATTATGTGAGCTACTCTTGAGATTGAAATTATATGTCGATCAGTAAACTACAGTACCAGCTTCCCAGACTTTTGACACACTGTAATTTTTTGCTCGTACTCGTAGCTTGTCAAAATCAAGTACTGTCGTTGAGAAAAGCGTATGAAAGTTCCCCTACATCGTTTCAAACACATACAACATTCAACCTTATACAGTGCATCTACCGTGGCTCTGCATGCCATCAGCGGCATGAATATTAATATTGCAGATATATCCTCAGGTAAAATTACATTAGACAAATTACAGATAATTCCCTGAGTGACTTACCTAAAGTAAACAGCCGTTGGAACTCTACTCTGACTTAATTTTTATACACGGTCACAGGTTGATACATGTAAGTATCTGGCTTTTTATGTGCTCAATAATCCTGAAAGCCTTTTATTCAGTAAGAATCAGGTTTTTCCTTGGGGTTTTTTTTGATATTTTATCGGGTTGAAACAAATTTGATATAGCTTTTTATGCCTCTTACCTTGAAATGCCTGTTACAAACAGGAGAACATTTCCCATGGAAGATTTTGTTCGTCATCTGAAAGCCCTTTTTTCAATTTTTTACACTTACTTTCATATTTGAAGAACTTAAGTTTGTTTCGAATTAAAGTACCATGAAAGACAAAAGATTCAGTCTCAAAATCTTATGGTCAGAAGATTCAGATCTGAAATTTCAATTTTTTCTACAAAAACTCTACAAGCGTGCAAAAATTTTGAAAACAAAAACAATGAAGGAAGGTTGTGCTAGGGCAAAAATGATCAGAAATGTTTGGAATAAATTACTTCTATCTTTTATCTATATACGATTGACCGACAGTAAAAAACTTTTAACTCAGATGTGATTTATAACCCAGCGACAGATAACTTCGATGAGCGAAATTCCCCAAATTTGAGCTTTTTGATTTTTTCGGTCCTCGCCTTGGAGCTCGTTCCAAATCTTTGCTAGAATGTTGGTGAATCTAGATTGAAAGGATCGCTCGTAGGTAATTCTAAGCGGGCTGTTTACGAAAATCACAATCACTTCGCAAAAGAGGGTCCGTCAGCGAAAATAGTGGCCCGTAGTAAACCCCCCATTAAGGCATCTCTCTCGACGCGGACCGGCGTTGATCTCATCACGCCTCAGTCTAGCATCCGGCGAGCCATTGATCTGGATGCGGATCGCTTCCGAGACATTACAGTCAAGTGCGTTCTTGAAGAAGGAACCACTTGAGCTGGTTTGGTCAAACGGGTAAGCGGTTGGAATTACACGCGCGCGGCCGTGGTTCGAGTCCGACTAGTGACACACACTTTGATGCATCGCTGGGCAATCTTTGATAGCGGCCACTACGCAATCGATGATGACCGCCATCAAGAATTTCGCCTAACAAATGCACGGATAAAACAAAAACACAATTTGTGGCAAAAATTTTATGAAAAAACGAAATGGTCGCAGCGTAATTTAATGAAATGAATT